AATTATATTTGCTATAACTGAATTCCATAAAAGACACAGGCAGCAAATTGATACACTTGAATAAAAAAGACATCAGTAAAAAAATCTCACCTATATCCTTGCGCCTCTTGAACTCATTGATGTTCACATTAATGATTTTGGCAGCAGTGAACGCCTCCTGCAGGGGACGACAGTCAGGATGGTCCTCGGGTGTGGCCTGCCACAGCTCCCCGAGCAGCAGCGGGTACTTCATGATCCTCTGGACCGGTTTGATGAGCAGTGAACCCATGTTCAGCAAGTTAGGTTTACCCCTATGGCAATTTATATATATAGTAAAAATAATTTTCATTAGAGCCTGACTGACTATATAGCATATATGTATATATACATATGATATATCTACAAATGGAAATTAGCTGGTATCTTAATAGCTAGTATTTCCTTTTAGATAAATCTATTGATGCATTTCATCATTTTTTTTTAATTTCTAAAAAATACAATAGTCAAACTCCAATCGGCATTAAACCAAAGACCAAAACTGCAAAATCAACACAACAATATAACAATCTATTATTAACAATGTACCAAGAGTGTTAATACTTGTTAGATCATGGGATACTTACTCTTGGTCATAGATTTTCCTGTAAGTATAAAGACAAAGAAACACACCATCAAAAATCATAAACAGTAAATCTCAACATTTAGAATTTTAGGGAAGTTAAGTTTTACATGATGTGATGATTATTTAGAGGAAGTGACTTCACTTACTTCAGTGCCAATATACATGTGGTGAAATGTTGCTTTATTTCTTCCTCTTTCTCATACGATTTGAGCGACAAGTTGGCGTCATCGTGATGGTAACAGTAAATCTTATATACATCTTCTAAAGCTGCCTTCGCCTGGATGAATACTTCTCCTTCAAATAAAAACATGGATGTGAGATATATTTTTGTCTAAAATGATTCAGATGCAGTTAAATTTCAACAAGTTAAATCTGCCAAGTATGAAAATGTTAGTACCTATAACAACTGCTTCTGGATCAGGGTCAGCCAGGGCCTCATGCAGTCTGTGAACGAGAGCTGCAGATACTTCACACAATGTCTCCATGTTGGTGAATAGCCGATCGATATCCACAACCTGAGAGAAGATAAGGACAATGTAGCATAACACATGACTTTCACCTGCTGTTTCCCCAGAAAATATACTCATGCCTACATTTCTATTAAATTAATTACTTTTTTACTGTAAAAATAAACTATGGTTAATGTGAATTAACCTGAGGTCACATTTAATTTTGGTATTTCAGTGTTTTTGTTTGTAAAATGTCCCTTCATTTTAATCTAATTCTCATAATTCTGTTGTAGAGCTGTTGAGTGTGTGAATTAAGGTTAATGTCATGATGGGGTTAATGTCAGAAATTAGCTTAGAGATATGGGATATATTTATATTGTAAGGTTGGCAAGATCTAGCCTTCCACATAAGCAAGGGATGCTTTTAACATCAGCTCATTCTCAATTAGTGTTGAAAATTTTCAATGGAGATTTATTTAAGTACATTTTATTGTAAATACAACAATAACAAACACTCAAATGGTAATGAGTAACACGCATACAAATAAATGTCCTCATCATGTATGTTAAAGAAAGTAAACAAAACAACTAAGCAAACAGCCAAACCAGCAAATGGACCCGGATGAAGACATAACCTGGAGGAAACAACTACCTGCATGTTGCGTAGAGGCTGCACCACCTCTCTGATGCACAGCTCCAGGTCTGTGAGGTAATCTTTTTCAGTCTGCACAAGCTCCTGAATGACCTTTGCCCTGCGGTTCATCTTCCTCAAGCGGACCTCCTCTGGGTCCAGGGCTGGAGAGGGGGGTGTGGACAGGTCATGTGGAGTCATTTTCTCTGAGAGGAAAAAAACATAATTAAAATAAATAAATAAGTAAGCAAATAATCTCCTGTGCATTGTATGTGCTATTCACAGGTACATTCCTTTGAGGTAGACTTTAGAACAAGGTCATGATGTGAGTGCACGTACATTTTGGTGGCATAATCTAGCATGTCATGTTTTTGCCATCATTTCAAACCACTTGTGGCGCATGTACATGTGTTGAGGCAGTAAACACCCTGTGGGCTGCGTATGCTTGGAAAAACATACGTCTGCCAACACATCCGCTCGACGCCTGAGCAGCAGTCGCTATTTCACGGTGATCTAATTATTTTGACTCAGACGCCAAAAGGCCTTACTTAACATGCCAGGCAGGCGCGCTGCTCTTTTTTTTATTGCTTTGCTGCCTAATCAGTCTGTGGCTGCTCTGTGCTTTGCATGGCAGGCAGGGGTGTCTGCTCAGGGAAGAGCAATGCTTCCTTGCTGCCTAATCGACACCATGCACCACTTCCTCCTCTGGGGGGGAGAGAGACATGAACAGAGAGAGAGAGAGAGAGGCGGAGGGCTGCGAGGCCTGTGTCAGGTTACAGAACTAATCGTGCCGCTGATGTAATGCCACGGCGTGCTCTGGCATTCCATCTGCTCAAAAATGGGAGAGTGTGAGAGGAGTGGCACGCGATGATGAACACACACAAACACACACACACACACACACACACAC